AACAAATATAAATTATAAGTCAAGTGAATACATGAAAGGAACAAATATAAATTATAAGTCAAGTGAATACATGAAAGGAACGAAATATAAATTATAAGTCAAGTGAATACATGAAAGGAACAAATATAAATTATAAGTCAAGTGAATACATGAAAGGAAGAAATATAAATTATAAGTCAAGTGAATACATGAAAGGAAGAAATATAAATTAGAAGTCAAGTGAATACATGAAAGGAACAAATATAAATTAGAAGTCAAGTGAACACATGAAAGGAAGAAATATAAATTAGAAGTCAAGTGAATACATGAAAGGAAGAAATATAAATTATAAGTCAAGCGAATACACGAAAGGAAGAAATATAAATTAGAAGTCAAGTGAATACATGAAAGGAAGAAATATAAATTAGAAGTCAAGTGAATACATGAAAGGAAGAAATATAAATTATAAGTCAAGTGAATACATGAAAGGAACAATTATAAATTAGAAGTCAAGTGAATACATGAAAGGAACAAATATAAATTAGAAGTCAAGTGAACACATGAAATTATGTAATTAAATATAAATTAGAAGTCAAATGAACACATGAAATTATGTAATTAAATATCAATTGGATTTCAAGAGTTTGCATGAAGTTATGAATAAAAATACAAGTTAGATATCAACCAAGCATGTGCAATTGGGAATGTATTTTATGTTCATTTATCAAATATCAATTACAAAAAAGGTGATAACAACTACTACATAAAGTAAACATATCTATAAATTATTACAATTTTGGAACCAAAACATATTTCCAAATTTATCTTTTATATAGATTATACACAAATGCCCACCTTTCCTTGAATCTGGCCTGTCCTTGCCATGTTAATTAACATATTTTCTACCATCTTGCTTTTTTCAGGTTTAGCAGCAGCTAAAGTACTCACTAAAGATGAAAATCAGTACATAATAACATATCCCATCAGCAGCAGAAAAAAAAATACTGTTAGTATTTATCAAACATTTCTAAGCTATTTCTAAAGCATTCCAAATAAAGATGTGTGTGTGTGGGGGGGGGTCATGTCCCGACAACTGCTACGCAACTAAAAATTAGTAAGTAGAAAGTATACCACTAATGAAAAGTCTTTTCTTATTACCAATATTTATATTTTAACTTAACAAAAAAGATATATATATTTACATTTTCATAGAAAGTGCTACAGCATGTGTCGCCCATAACAAAAGTTTACTTTTCTTCACTGAACTTGTTAAGCTACCTCATTAACAGTGTATTTATCAGCTGAGAAAAAAACTTACTATACAACTTTTCTAGAAACAGAAGAGCTATACATGTTTGGATTTTTGAGTTGATGTTAAAGAACAGTAAAGCTTCGACACATTGAGAAAATAACATTAATGTATTTAAGAGATAAGCAGAAATTCTACCTATATGTATACATGTAAGCAACAACAGTAGCACAAACATGACTGTTGTCAGACTCCACAACATGAAAGTTAAATATTGGTTAAACAATGTACCTGAGATTACTGTATACCATCTTATGCATTCACTGGTTGAACAATTAAAATCTAGTAGCCTCTAAAATATGTTCCTAATTGCATTTCTTTAAAGACAATACAAGCTACTGAAAACATTCCAGTCAGAGTTAATGACAGCATTCACCAATTAAAAACAATGGTTAAGATAATTTCTGTAAATAATTCTGTTGTCACACACATATCTTAAGTTAAATAATTCTTTACACATGACAAGTATACTTCCAGGTATGAATAGAACATATTACAATCACTGTAAAGGCAAGAAGCAGAATGTTCATGGAACTTTATAGATATCGTTTTAACACTTTCATCATTCATAATGTTTGACTTAAACATTCTGATACAGTAAACCAGTCAAACATTATAAAATATCAATATTTTCTTTTTAAGTGCTTAAAAAAATTAGTTTTCATTTTTGAACAATACTGTAAGTTCAATGTAAATTTTTCTAAAAATATAATAACTAAAGATTTAAGAATCATACAAAATCTGAAAATAAAAATTAATTAAAGAAAATTAAACAGAAAAAATTTTACTTTCCCAAACTGAAACTGTTCTTCATCTACATTTTAATGTTGAATACATAGAGCTTTTTATTTCACATAATCAACTGGCAGTTGGTATACTACACCTAATTTAAACATAGATGTAGTAAATCAGTAGAATATTAATTTTATTATTTCTATATACATGTATATGATACATAGTTGTTGAATATCACATTTTGGGTTAAAAGCTTGGTTAAAATGAATTTAAATCAAGAAATAGTACATTTTAGAACTAAAATTATGAGCTCAGTTTCAAATAATTCCATGTACATTAATGAAAAGAGGTATAAATATTTTAACAAGGAAAAAAAAGGTATAAAAAAATAATAAATTTAAATTATATCATTTAGCTCTTAATATAAACTAATTTGTCAATATATTCAACAGATCCATTGTTTAACTTCTCCAACAAATTTTTGTCTGTAGGAGTAGATTGAGCACTAGAACACTGCTTTTAATATAGTCACCAAATCTTTGGTAGCTATCTTGAAAGCAGATGTAAATGTGAAGAACAGATCATCTGTAAAAAAATAATAGCTTGCAAGAAAAATACAGAAACTGACTTTAACCAACAAATAAAAGCAAACATTCAGAATGAATGTCACTGACAGAGATGGGCAATTAACTCAATACTGTTAATTACCTATGATTATGGACACCAAATAGTGACATGTAAAATAATCAATTCATAGAAGTTATGTTTAAATTGATTAATGTCATGAAAGTAAGCAACTAATCAAAATTAGTGTTTCCGATTATTCCAAGTAATTGAAATATTGACATTATGATTTTTCATTATCATTTTCAGGTAATTAAAAGTTGTTCAGCTAAGTCAGCGTTGAAACTAATGAACTAATCAAAACTAGTGTTCTTGATTATTACGAATTTAATTTATCCCAATTGTACAAGTCTTATATGAGAATAACTGATGCTGAATGTAATAAATTAATGAGCTCAACAATTAACCAATTAGCAAGATATATTAATTACTCAGCTCTAGTCACTGAGCTACCTGACCTAATTCAAATTAAGAGAAATTGTTTTTGTAGCCTAACAATATGAAGTTTAAAATTAAAAATAATGTGTACCAAAGAAAGAGCTAGAAAACCTAAAACATCAAATATGACATTTTTTTTAATGACAAAATTAGGACTGCTGCTGTGAGACAGTAGGGAATTCAAATTATTTAAAAGCATTTTGGACATGCTTTATATTAAATTTGTGAAATACTTTTATATTATATTGTCAAGCAAAATACTTCAGTAACTATATTTTAAAAACACTTTTTTCAAGTGTCTTGTGAACAGGTTGAAACATTTATGTGGACTGGGTCCACAAACCAGTTATAAATCACTGCCTTGTAAGATACTAATTCTTATGAATATTAATATCATTTCTCTGCATTGTTGAAGAACACTGATGACAAATGTCTTTGAAAAGCTGGTCAAAGAAAAAGGCTTTGATTACCAGTATTTCAAATTTGAAAATCATAGAAGAGCAATTCATATCTCTATTGAATTTTGCCAGGAGAGTGATAGGATATTATGTCAATGAAGAGTATAATATGACATCATACCTCATAGGTTATACTTATTATTAGATTGCAAGACTACAATTTCAGAAAAGGTAAAAATGGTAAATGGATAAAAAACTAACTTACAACAGTTATTGGGTGGTAAATCTTAAAGTACTGCTTAGGACAAAGGTATAGTAGATGAATGTAGGTGTGCAGGTTTCTACTTTTTATACTTTATCTAACTTTACATTCTCTATCCCCCTAAAAGATGCATAGTACTTATAAACATGTTGTATAAATACCACTTTAAATTATAAGTAAAAGTGATGGTTAATTTTTGTTAAGATCTCGTACAGCAAATAGCATGAAAGGCTGGTGTGATAATGTTTAACTTGCGATATGTGATCTACTGGTTTTCTTATCAATGAGCTGCTGAAGAAATATTTAATTATAATTAAAAAATAGAAAACTTACTATATAGAAGCTAAGTTACAACACTGTCTAAACCATTACTTCACCAAAATTATCTAGAATGTTTTTTCTCAAAGGGACACTAGTCGCCATGCTATCACACTTAGTCCACTACAAAACAAATCTACTATGAAAAAAATCTACAGCTAGACATTTAAATGTCACATTAAAATGTGTATAGCTACACCTCATGTTAGATTGCAGTAGTATTCACTGTTATTTTGTTTATTGTAAATAAATCTATCATGCTTTGTACATTCGAATGCATCAAATGTAGAACTTTTTTTTTCACTATTTTCAAAAATGTTTAAAATTTTTTATATTTATGGTGAGAAATTCCAGGAGGTTTGTTAATCAAATCTGGATATGATTATGGCATGAACACACAAAATCTATGATTCTATAACAAATTCAAATAAGTATATCCATTGTTTTGAGGAGCAGCCATTTCACAAATACCATGATCAGTCTATTTTGTATATTTGAGTAAACTTAGTGTTCTACAAGTGTGGAAGAGACCCTACTAAAGTGTATATTTAAGGTATTCGGAGGAGAAATTCTGCTGGTACTCACTGGTACTGAGCACTGGAACTCATTTTTTAAGGTAGTACTAGTACCAGGACTTATTTGAGCTGATTCTTCAGATGCACGTGTATTCCATTTTTCCGTCAGAAAGCATTTATCCATTGACACTCAAATCATCATTGTTTATGTTTAAACGTAGATGTTCTTTTCCTTTTCAAAAACAGGTCCACTTCACCCAGCTGAGTACCTCTACTTTTTTTCAAGAATTTCACCACTGAAGGTATTTCAATATAATCGTGGTTCCAAAAGATAAAGCACAATTTCTTTGGCACTAAGTTACACATGTTAATATATTCCTTAACTGAAAATGTATTTCAGATAGATACTTCTGGACACAGAATACCTTGATCCCTCGTGCATCTACCTATGAGATTTGCATGCCACTAGCTATGAGTTAATTCCCATTGAAAAATTACATGTTTAACATGAACCGTGTTACTGCATGAAGACATCAACATCCAACAATAGTCCTCCACCAATAGGAGGGTGACATAACCTCTTTGAACTCAAAATAACCTCATTCTTAGATGAGGCAAGAAGAAAGTGCACCTGAAGTGGGGAGATGGATGACAAGGTGTGTCGCGGTAAGTATCTATCAGAAATACATCTTCAGGTAAGGCAAATGCTAACTTAAAAGAAGATACCTCACCTCTCCACACAGAATAGCTAGAATCCTACAGAGGAATGGTGGAGGATCTGGTGCAAATATTAAACTTAACTGAGCTCCTTTAAGAATGCATCAGAGGGGAAAGCCCATGCAGTGTGATACTTGATGGCAGGGGCTCCACAAGGGCACACTTGTGGGAGACTACATCTCGTCTCAATCAGGTATACTCTTTGCCAAGAAGAGAACAGAGGGAAAGACAAAAGAACCCCAAGTTTTGCAAGGTTGGGTAAAATTGATTATAACCAACAGAGCATCCGTACACAAGTGGTCAGCATGCCAAGATTGTGGTTGGGGCATGATCAAACCATATGGTGTGTGTCTCACCTTAACTCAACTGGACAGACGCTCACTGCAAAAGAATACACTAGATGTTTCAAGAGTGATGTGCACTACTACCCCACTTCCCACAGGTACTGTGCAGAATCATCGAGGAACTCTCCAAGGTCCATTACCTCAGTGGCTAGGAAATGGTAAGTGACAAGGGTCTCCTGTACTCCACCTTAAGAGGTGGGGGGAAGAGAATTTACAGTGGTTTCTTACTAGAGACAGTACAATGGCTGACAACAAAACCCTATTAATAAATGACTGCTTTTTCCATGATAGTCCATGGAAAGGTACAGTCTGGAATGGACAACTGAATAAATTTCAATACCATGAGGATACTGCTAGTGGTTTTGCACAACACCCCATCTCAACAGTGGTTACTGGTAGAGCCAGGACATATGGGTTTAACACTTTCCATTACCCCTCACCTGATGCTGAGTTCGTGAAACAAGTACAATCTGGGAGGCAACAACAACCACTTGGTAGGATCCTATAAAAGGGAAAAGAGTGTTGAAAAAGGAAAAGAACTTACTCTTCTCAAAGACAGTATGTTGTTTTATTGAAGAACAGTGACAGGAAGGAATAAAATCCTGCAGGAGATGAAACAGCCAGATGATCAAGATAATGGGAGACAAAGATGTGCAGAATATTCCTCATGCCAGCCTGAAGGGTCAGTTAAAATTAGATGCAAGAGTGAGACAGTTAACAAATCTGATGTAATGAAATATGAAAGAATGATCACCTTCCTGAGCAGTTACAGTCTTAGGAAGAAAGGCCTAGTCTGAATAGAGGAGGGAGTAAGTATGGTGAAAAAGTACAGGAAGCACTGATGGCATGTACATCGAAACAATGGCAACCAGAGCCAAGAGGGAGAAGAAAACATGACTTAAGAGAAAGAATATATTATGAATATGAAGCCAATGGTTTGAACAGAGCATGTATAAGAGCAGGTAAAACCATGCCAAAGTTTCAGTTAAATATGGAAGTAGGACGAGTGGGTTGGTGACAAAGGAAGGATCAGAACAAAGTGGAGAGGACAGGAAAAAAACCTGACAGTAACAGAAAAGACAAAATGTAGTTGATAAAGCAGCCTGAGAACCAGCAAGAGTGGAAACTGATGATCCATGGTTGAATGACCATGTGCAAAATGCCAAAAACCCCTAACACTTCTGTTGATAGGTTAACAGGAATGGGATAAGAAAAAGGCTATACGAGTCCAGCCTTACAGGCAATGAACTGGAAAAATACCACATATGAAAATGAATGAACAATACCCCCTGGGTGAAACATGTTTGAAGCAAGAGAGTGTGGGAATAGGGCAGAGGAAGAGGGGGTCCAGATGCCAATTAACAAAACAGGGGGAATCAGAATTGTGCAGGCCAAAGAGGTACCATTAACAGGACCTCACAAAGTGTTGTGTATCAAAGCAAGGACTTGAGGAAAAAAAAAGAAGAAGAAAAGGATAAACATACAGAAATAGGTGAAACTAATCATTGCTGAGAGCAATGACTGCTAGGGCCAAATGGTGAGGAACTGGGGATCCAAAGAAGAAAAGTCTGGTGTTAAGAGTGGTGAAGGCATTGATAAGAGGTGTGCCCAACTTAGAAAATCCAATGAAACACCTAAGATTGGAGAGATCACTCTGTGGTTAGAGCCCTGCCTGGCTGAGAAAGGCAGTCAATCCACTACCAAATTCAGAGTCCCTGGCACATGACAAGCCATGAGACAATATCAATGGGAATAAGCCCAAAATATCAGGTCTAATGTGAGGAAGCAAAGAATCCTGAAATGGGTACCTTTATTGTCAGTAAGTAATGTAATATATATATATAAGAGAAAAGCATTAATGAATTATTCCTTCCAATATGAAACAGCACAAAATATACTTATCTTATTATGCTGTTTCATCATACTTTCTAGCTTAAATGGCTTGACAACTTTGGTGTTATAACACCTTAGAAATGCACGGTAATTTTCTTTTGTAAATGTAAAAGGAATTAACCATTCAGGTTGTTGATCACAGATATTAAGCCTAATGAAATTTTATTGTATCATCTATTCTTTCCATCAAGCTTTCTTACGATTAATAACTTATATTTCACCAAAGCATCTATTTCCCTCTGTTTTACATGTCATCTCTGTTTACAACTAAAAATACTGTTAACAACAAGGGTAGACCACTAATATTTAGAAATAAATATATAAAAGTATATTTAATTACCTATACTCATTACCAGGCTGGTTTCTAAGTAGGTAGCCTACTCTAAATGGTAGTTAATATTAATTAATACATTATTGCCTGATAATTTGGCCTCTTTCATAAAACATATAAACTATGTTAAACATTAAATTAATAATCCTATTAATTATATTTTAAAATTTTCAATTACTTAAATGCATTTTCATCAAATTTTATCCCTTATTTATACAAAAGTTATAAACTTGTCATAATAAAATTATGAAATCAATCCATAACTGAGATTCTATTCAATTGTTTATCTTGTAAACATGTTATTACAGTTCTAAAGAGACTCACGTCTTGCACGTGCTTCTTGAGAAAGAACCTGGGAGAGAACGTAATTCCGCATTTCTTCCTCTTTTGCTTTCTGTTCTTGTTCTTGGTTAGAATTTCTCTCATTTTTTCCACCTTGCTACTCAGAATAGAACAAAAAATAAAATACAGGGTTTCATTTTACTAACATTCATATGTACACACATGTATAATAATAATCTGCTGTGGGAGTAGGGTGTGAATATTAACGAATATCATCTACTTCACCATCACATACTGAAGGTTCATGTCATTGCAGGAGTAGTAAATACGATAAATAGAGACATACGTGTCCAAGATCCACCTGGAGATTGTGATTTTTCTATATGAAATGGAGTGACCTGCACTACATTCTGGAAACACTTCTAATCCCACTTCTCACTCGTTTCTGTAAATTATTTATTATTTGTGTGGAATTAACTTTCGCTATTTTTGCAGTATGTACATTTTTGCAAACAATAGTTCATGCAAAACAAAAAGCCTTTATGAGTAATAAATGAAACCAAAACAGATAGTTACAAGCAAATATTATAAATCTTTAGCACATTCATGAAGCACAGCACTATGTAAACAATATGCATGAGTCAATTATAAAACAATGTCTTTTTACACACACAACAATCAATGGGAACATACAAACAATAAACACTGAAAACCAACTTCAATAAAACCTGATTAAATCAGTTCATGTCATTTACTATTACCTCATGGCTTTTAATATGCCAATATGCGTGGTTTGGTTTCAAAATGGCTGTCCAGGTGTAAATGGCCACATGTTGGTTCTCCATATATGGGCTGTCTCCCAACAAAGACACATCCTTGCTGGTGTACCAATGAGGGAAGCATTTTTTTCAGTTCATCTTTAAACTCTTTGTTTACTGACAAGTCCAGCGGCTGCAATCTGTCTATGCAACATACTGAAATAAACACACAATGAATGTTCTTACGGCGTGGGTTTGCTTGCAGATCTTCACCCTGGTGAGCTTTAAAGACATCAAAAATGGCTAGGCATTTCTGTGTTGGACATAATTTCAAGGTTTTATGGGCTCTCTTAAAGTAGGAGATAACCACCTCGTTAACATATCTCAACATTGTTTCATCGGTTGACCAGTGTGTCTAGAAATGTGTGATATCCTTGCCACTAGGAAAGTCAACCTTTGGATGGCATCTGTCTGTTTTACCAGCATATATCAACTATAGTGGTAATGTCTCTCTGGCCTTGGTCACTGTGAGTAGGGTTGTTAGCTGTTGTTTTTCATCAATACTGGATATTGTTATCTGTCGAGATCCTCTTTTCTTCATTGTCCAGTCACCTACTGGTATCATGTTCACACTCGTTTGGTTCCAGTTGATCAGGAATATTGTTCTTCTGGATAATGCCTGTAACTTACCTGATAGAATCTGCCTGGATCAAATGAAAATATTCAGTGTTTTTTTTATATATATATTTTGTCTCTTTCTGCTTCATGTATCCAAGGCAAGTAAGAAGTGACTTTGTCCAAGTTGTTGTATTCACTATGCTTTCGTTTTTGTAAATTTGTGCTCACTGATTCATTAGCAGCCTGGGTGGTGTGCACTTCAAGTTCTGTGTCACAATGTTGTTGGTTTGGGAGGATTGGTCAATTTCATCCATTTCCACAAAAACATTTTGAGTGAGGTACATAATGAAATTGTGACTGTTCAAGATTTGATACTGCTAAAAAATTTAAAATAATTCTATGCCTGCCAAGTCATTTGAGTAACTGTTCTCAATATGCTATATGGAGATAATAACTTGTAATCCTGAAACAGCAAACAATGAGGATACGTAAACTGTAATTAGTTAAGTACCTGCATCACCTGCCGTAACACACTAAGACAAGTTCATTGCTTTCAATAGGTGGATTACCAACATGTCAGTTAAGTTGCACAGCGTGATTGCAAAGGCTTATAGTTTGAAAAATGTTGCTTAGAAAAACAGAATGGTGTCTAAAAACTTTTCTTCTAAATGTATGTAATGGAAAATTGATGTATTTTCAATTTCATTTTTACATGAAAGTTAAAACCCACAAGACAAGTTTCAATGTAAAACTGCAAAATATAATTCCTGCAAATAATAAGTAAACTACAGCATACAGAATGTATTTGTTTATCATTTTCTCAAGGTATCTGTGATACTTTTAGCTCTACATTTTTTAGATGTCCATCACAGGCCTTAGAGAATATTATCTAACTTTTTTGCTAGAAGCTCCCGACATTTTTTACTATGTAATATCTCAAGTCTCATTTTACTGCATCACATATCTCACTTCCCATTGTTTTCACTCCTGGATACTCAGCTTTCTTTTGATTTAATCACTGAATTTTTTTTGTTCTAAGACAGTGGTTCCCAAACTTTTTTCACTGACAACACCCTAATCCACTTACCTTGGTTTGTGCAACACCCCTGCTGTCACATGCAATATTTTATGTTATTTTGTTATGTTCTTCTTATTCTTTGTTTGGTTAAACTCTAGCGACATCCTAATAACTTGTCATGACCACTGTTCTAAGGAATTAACAGGCTGACAACACTGAATATTCAAAATCAAACTATAACTAATCTTTTTACATGAATTCAGAGTTGCCTTATTATTTATGTTTTAGTTCTTGTGGAAATGCATTAATGCTCAGAAATTGGCTACTTGGGTTCTTATTCTATTAATTGATTATTTTATATGACACTAATCAATATTAATAGATGCTCATATGTACTCAACTGATTGTACCAACTGAATTAATTGCTCAGCTCTAGTACATGCTAGAAAAAACTAGAAACATACGTGCCTGCTGAGAAATCAATACATCCAAACAACCTAAAGCTTACTGTATTATGCAGCATGTAATTACAACCTGACTTGTTTTCCTTTTTAAGTGCTTCTTATCTAGCTAGAGCTAATTGTAATTAGCCATCTGTTCACAGGCTCAGTCAAGTTGACTGACCCCACATCTATGAAGTTATACATAATAAGGTTTACAATAACTTTGAGTTTAATATGTGTATCATTGGCAAGTTGTTATTAAACATAACAACTGTACATAAAAAAAAAAAAAATCAGGTTTTGTAATAATGTATTTTTACTTAAGATTTGTCTGCGAATTTCTAAAGTGTTTACATGAGTTAATCTGAATGATAGTTGATTTTCATGCTAAGAATAGAGATACTTCTCATTTTACAATTTTCATATTTCACTTGGATAGCCTATAGAATCTCCTGAATGAATATCATGTTATTTGTTTTAGCAAACTTTATACCTTCTCTCTTATTTTCTATACTCTAACAATTAACTGTAGCAAAATCACCACTGTACAATGAAATTGAATTTTAAAAATATGAAATAAAATTAACAATATTATTTCTCTGCACTGTCTGCAGTATTGATCAGAAAGTTCCAAGTTACTTACCTAAACAGTTGAAACTTTTCACAACCGCTTCCTTGTAATTTTATGATTTTATTGCTGAACTTTGTATCACTGAAACATTAGTCCTCACATCAAAAGCAATAAATCACAGTAGGAACCCATTAGTAAACAATACATGATTGCTGAATGTACGTTTCAAATAGTTTTGAGCTGGTGAAATTGTAGACATTTTATTTTACTGAAATTATATATTAGGCTAAGCCAGGCCTCAACAATTCTCCAGCACCACGTCACTATGACAACTAAAAATTACATCTTGGCACCTAGTAGTTTCTCCCATTTTATTCGTCTGTAGGGTTGTGCTAAATAGAACTCAAATCTAGAACAGTTCTAGACCCTTGGAAGTCCGGAATTATTTTTGCATTCTTTGAGTCTGAAATCGAACTTTGTTTCTAGGATTTTAATGGTGGATTCAGCACTTCATGTTTTTTCAGGAATGAAGTGCTGTGGTTGCATAACACATTACTAATTTCGTGCCATTTTGTTTTTCTTCTTTCTCTCAATTCAACCAATCAGTGCATGTGTTTAGACTCAGACGGGACCAAAGGCAGTTAGTTCAGGCAATACTATCAAGTGGTTGTTAATATTGTGATCATTAGCATGTTCTTGTTGCCGTGGAAGTAAATAAATATAACTCTCATCTCCCAGTACACACAGTAATGAAGTTAGGTTAGGCACACCAAAAAGCCTTTGCTTTTTGTTGTACAGTGTTGTAGTGATGAGTAGAGTAGACCTAATATGAAACAACCTGCTTGACCTATCAATATTGCAGTGATTATAGTTTCTTTATTTTCATTCATTGTAAGAATCCATTGTAAGTTATTTGATCTACTGTTTTAATAATTGCACTTATTGAAGTTTAACTTGAATATATGTTATATAATAAAGTTGAATAATGAACTCTGTTTTTAGTGTAAAACTGTATGTCTCATACTATAACCACACAACTGACTCAAAATATATTCCATAACTTTTCTATATCAGACCTGGCTCCTAAGTTTTTGGGCTGGCTGAAAATATTTGTGGAGACCTGGGCTAAATTGAAAAGTTTCTACTTTTTACATTATACTTACTTTTGTTGAAACGAATATAACAATAACTGAAACATATACATAACAAAAGGATTTCTAGTACTTGTTGCATACTTGACCTCATTTGCACTTGAGTAAATATTTTTGACATTCTTCTGTAAGCCTTGTTGAGTCAAAATATGGGTGTCCAAAAAAGAATGAATATAGCTTTCAAATATACATCTTAGAATACAAAAAATATATCAGTCAAGAGAACAAAATGTCACAAAATTAATTTATCTGGCTTTCTAAGTAAGCTCTAAATATGTT